ACAGTTGTTATATTGTCATGCTAACTGTTGATGCAACAAGCTGTAATATCATATTATTCTGAATTAAACACTTGTGTTTGAACACATCTGTATGCACTGTTAGAAGCTTTGTGAGATGTCAGATTTGGTATCAAATTTACTTTTAATAACGTCTCAGACTTTTAAAGTGGCTAACTGATAATGTACACTGACAGCATATCAAATGACAGCATTAAAAGCATCAGTTGGAGTGATGAACCCAACAATTCCAACTCTGCAACGTTTGACACTCAAATCTAAGAGAGAGATCCCCATCTCTAACATTTACTCAGTCTCCCTTAGTCTGGTCACTTTGATCGCCTACTGCACATGTGTCAAACTCAAGGCCCGCGGGCCACATCCAGCCTGCCATACAATTACATCTGGCCCACAAGATCATTTTATAAATCCTTTAATGGCTCGGCGATATGAAGCGCCGATAACACACAAACTACAAATCCCATAATACAGCGCAACAGCTGCCTTACTGAACGATACCTGCGATCATTCCCGCGTCAATTAGATCAGATCAGTCAAGCGTCTGTTGATGTATACAACCCTAATTTCAAGTCCAAGCTAGCCCTTAACAATGGCCAAGAGAAAAGTTGATTCTAAAAACAAAGCCTTTCAAAACCGGTGGGAGGCTGAGTATATGTTTACTGACATTGCTGGTAAACCTGTGTGTCTTATTTGTGGAGCTAATGTGGCTGTAACTAAGAAATATAACCTAAGATGGCACTATGAGACAAACATCAGGACAAGCTGAAAAATGTGAATGCAGAGCAGAAGCTACAGAAGGTGGAATTGAAGAGGAATCTGACATCAAAGCAGACGTTTTCAACAAAGCGAAATCACACAGTGAAGCTGCTGTGAAAGCAAGTTTTATTGTGGCGGAGGAGAAAATCAGCCCGGCCATTTACCGAGGGAGAGTTTCTGAAGAGCTGCATGATGAAAGTGTGAGACGTCTTGTGTCTAGACAAAAAGCAGGTGTTTGCAAATGTAAGCCTTAGCAGAAATACGGTTGCTGATTTTAAGTTCAAGTTTATTTTGGAATAATATTGTATCCTGTCTGTTTCAATTCATATTTTTGTTAAAAAAAAAGTTTAGTCTGTTCAATAAATGTTTATCCTGTTCGGCCCACGACCTAAAGTGTGCTTTGGGTTTTGGCCCCCTGTGCGATTGAGTTTGACACCCCTGGCCTACTGAGAAGCAGGTGGCAGCATCCAATTCAAGTCTTAAATTCAGTTCCTTGCTGGGTGAACAAATGAAGGCAAACATGTTTGTTGAACAGTGCCCCCTGTGGACTTGCTGGTTTAGTGTTCTGAAACTGCCACATGAGACTGGATGGGTTTTGTAGGGTTATATGGTTAAAAAGTAATTCTATCTCTTCTCATTGCTATTTGGAGGAGATAAGGTATTCCTCCTCTCACTCATACTGTGGACTGGTTGGGGTCACTATACCAATTATAAGAATGTGTGACCGGGCCAATATACAGGCCTATGCAACCCAGACACTAAGTTTTAGTAGCTCTCAAAATATATTATCCCTCCTGTTTCAAGAGGTCAAATGCATACAAACTCTACAAGTACTGGGTTACTACACACAGATAAGTCTGCAAACACACAGAGACGTTGGGTTTGTCCACAAAACAAAGATTTATTTGAGTCACTAAATAAGTTAACAGTGGAACAATTGTTAAAAAAAAAGCCTAACCCCAGAAGCTAAAATACTCAAATCAAATCAAATCAATTTTTATTTGTATAGCGCCAAATCATAACAAAAGTCATCTCAGGACACTTTACAAAGTAAGGTCTAGACCTTACTGTTATCAATATTATTACATAGGGAAAACCCAACAAATCCCCCTTGAGCAAGCACTTGGCGACAGTGGGGAGGAAAAACTCCCTTTAACGGAAGAAACCTCCGACAGACCCCGGCTCTTGGTGGGCGGCCTTCTGCCTCGACCGGTTGGGGTGAGTGGAGAGAGGAGAGACAAAAGAAAAAAAGCAACAAGACACAACAATCAAACACTGATCAGGTCGATGTGGCCGGTGACTGCT